AACATGGGGTGTAAAGGCAGAAATCCCAATGGAAATTCCTTCTCCGGGACCAAGCAGATTTCCAGGATTTCTCCGTCAAGGGTCATTGTATGAGCAAACTCGAATAACAGGTATTATAATTTCTCCAAAAGGGGGTTGAAGGCCACCTGGAGGGGTCACCTGTTTTAATCACTCGCACCATTATAAAGTAGTGTGTTATCTGTCAGTCAGTAGACATTAAAATGACGTCACATAAAGGATGCTTAATGTTGCAATTTGTACTGTTGTGATGTTAGTAAAACGTATGCATGACATATGAACTTCAAGAAATAAAAATATTTGTTACTCTTAATTTTGGTTTTATATACTCTTGAAATGGAATACTTTTGGGGACCCTGTGAAAGCACATCTAGTATTTCTATTAATGTATAACTATCAATCAAAAGTAAGTTAACTCTTTGGATCAGAACAAAAAGTGATTTAAATTAATGAAGTTAATCCAAAATAATAAACTACCTAGAAGTAGATAGTGTAATAATGTTAATGGAACAAACTGTAAAGAAAAATAGAATTACCGGTAAAAACTGACCTCTTGATGCTGACTATGTAATTTTAAGTAATTTGAAATGAAAGTTAACCAATTTCTGACATGTTACATTTAGCTCTAGAATCAAATTGGAAGCTACAGAATGTAAAGTAAAATAACATCATGTTTAACACATTGTGAGATATAAGCCAAAGTAATACAATAGAAAGAGATTAAGGAACTTAGTATGAATCATGTGTATAAATAACGTATTAGATGGTAAAGCCACATCTCTTGTGCATGTGATCAGATAGTAAGCAGCCAAAAGAAATAAGTAAATAGTTGATCCACAAAAACAAACTGGATGATAAACATTTATTTAGACACACAAGTTTTCATTAGGTAGCACTGTCTTGCCACTGTTTTGAGATATATTAGAACTTTCTAAATACAGAAAATTTATTGAAGAATTTCAAAATCGTTGATAGTCTATTTTATGAGTATTTATTCAGATTATTGATTTTTCAAACCAATGAATAGTGTGCTACCTTTCAACATTCTGCTGCTGCATTATTTGGGCCTGATGGTTAGGGCACTTGACTTGCAATCTGAGGGTCATGGATTTGAATTTCATTCCCAAACATGCTCTCCCTTTCAGCTATTGGAGTGTTATAATGTGATAGTAAATTCCAGTTTTCGTTGTTATAAAAGTAATTTAATAGTTGGTGTTTACTAGCTGCTTTCCCCTCTAGTCTGTCACTTCAAAATTAGGGACTGTTAGCTTAAGTAGCCCTCAACTAGCTTTGCATAAAATTCCAAAAATAAACCAACAATTTGACATTACTTACTTATAAAATTAATCCTAGAAATTGTGTAATGATAGCTCTACTGATATAACTACTGATGTCATGATAAGGATATTTATCAGAATAAATTTAAAAGATGTTTTTAATATGTAATTGAAAAATTTAAAGTATATGTGAGAAAAAGCACAATAAAGGTTATAGTAAAATATATACTTTTATATTTGTTAAAGTATTAATGAAATGCTCTTACCAAAATATATTTATACATTTTGAAATACAAGTTTGTATATGCCAAATTCTGAATTATTGACCTACCTTTGAAATATGTAAAAGTAGTATGGCATATATTTTTAGTTGAATTCAACATAAATTCAGATGTATTGTTGTTTTGGCAAGTTCATATGGCTGATTTATTAATGTAATATGAAAATATTGGAAAGCTTCAGAGAATTTTATGTATTTTTTAGAATCATATCACTAAGCATGTCAACATAGTATATTCTTTATGTTGTACTGGAGGCTATTTTCTTCTGGAAAATAATGTCATGAAGAAATAATGGCCATGAAAAAATGTATGTACTTTTTTTTTTTACATTTTTGTTTTTGATGTTAGTGTAAAGTTTTTTGTAATTGTAAACTAGTCGGTAAAAGATCCTGTTTAATATGTTGTGTACATTTACCAATGTTTCTTGTTTTTTTGTTTCTTGTAAGTATATAATATGTATTGTGTGTTGTATATTATTTTTGTTTATGAATTTTGTTTTTATCTGTCAGAGTTAGAGGAGCCAAAAAGTCATGGTAATAGTTGTACTGAAGAAGACACCCTTAGGGTTTCACCAACATCTCTCCGTTCCCGCAGCTCAAGCACATCGTCAGCCACCAGTTCTGCTAGTAGCAGTAGACGTCACTTTCTACCTTTCCTTCGACACAAACAAAACAAAGACGTAGCTTTTTCCTGAAGGCTAGACAGATTGTGAGCTGTCAGGAAATCTCTATTTTCATTTGTATTGTATGTAAAATAACAGTGAGCGTAATGTGACATGACATGACCCTCTCCTGGATATTGGTGGTAGATACTATTTCCAAAGTTCATTGACTTCATTGTGCCATTCCTGAAAGTTTATTTATTACTTCTGTACTTGTTGTCAAAAATCAATTCAATCTTAAACTTTGACAGGAACTTTCAATGGACATAAGTACCATGTGAATGTTAGTATTTACACTCGTATAATGTTTTTATTTTACTCAATTTGATCATAAATTTCAGTGATTGAGGCAAATTGTTTTTCATTTTGCTCTAAGTAAAATTAACAGTTTGTATATATTTACGATATTAAAATGCAGGATAAAAATTGTTATACTTTGTCTACTGTTATAAAAGGAAATGAGGAGAACTATTTAACATAACCAATACACTCTATCCTCTTTATATTAAACACGTTTTTTTTTTTACTCAAAGCATACTTCAAGCACTATTCAAAGAAATTTTATTTTCAAGTTTATAATGTTTTCTTGCTGTCTCCCTCCCCCTTTTACTTTTCTCAGTCACGTGATGTATTATAAAATTCCTTATTTGCTTACATTCTTTGTTATAATTCACGATTATTTTGTTTTAAAATTTAGCTCAGTGCTTTGAAGATATGTCAATTACAAATTTGCATTTTGTTCATAGATGAAAGTAATATTTATAGATTAACTTGTTGCTGGTTAGGTACTGAAGGTGTAGATTTGATATCATGAGGCTAAGAAATTCATACATGATTATATGTAATAGAATTTGAACTCAAAAACCATTATAAACTCTCATCTTTTTTTTTTTTGTCTAAAAAAAGTAACCGTTTTTAACTCCTGAAAATCGATTGATTATAGACAACTAATAATAAATGTTAACTGGTTTACTAAATACTTCGGAATGTATCCAATATTTTACATTAACTTATGGTCATTAAATACCTAATGGAAACCTCACAAGTTTAAAGAAGTTTTGAATTTTATAATAAGTTGTTTATAAATTAGAAAATAAAAGTTTCAAAGTAGCCATTTGAACTTTGTTACTTGTGTATTATCAGCTAAAGTTGATTGTTTTATTGGAGATTATGAAATGTTATGGTTGTTACTTACAGCTTCTATGGCTACTTTTCTTTGTAACAAAGTAAGTCACAAATTTTTAATTTCAATGCAGCTAAAGCATCAAACTAAAAATCTTTAAACCATGTTTATTTTTCTTTTCTAATAATTCCTGTTTAGGCTAATACTAATAATAATTCCTTCTTATGTTCTGTGCTACCATAGCTAAGGTTTATTACTAACAATTTTTGTGCCTAATTTTACTTTTGTTGTACCTGAAGCTGCACTTTTTTTATCGAAATTTTTAAAAATAACATATTTAGAAAGTTGATGTCTTTATAGTTCTATTATGATGAAATACTGTACCCAGACAGACAGAATGAATAAGTCAAATTTTTGTTAAAGCTAAGTTTGTTTTACTTCTACTAAGAGTTACGAAATTCATTTCTTTCAAATATAATTATATTGTAAACAAAACACACTGTTCCTGTGTGTAATAGGTGTTAACATCAAATGCTGAAAATGTTTATAGGAATTGATTCTGTATGTAAATTTTTTAAATGAGATTGAATGGTTATTTTTTTTTATAGTGAGTTTTTTAATTTAGTTAAACTTGGATAAATATGATGAATCTTTGAACCAGACCAGTTTGCAGATATGTGCTTGTTTGCTTGTAATGTTGCACTGGTGACAAATAAAAATCATCTGTGTTTATCAGAACAATCACTACTACTTCCTTAAATACTCAATTAACACATTTAGAACTTCTATTTGATTCCTGTATCATCAGCATATATTCACAGTCACTAAGCCTAGTCAAAACAAAAGTTCTGTAATTTGCTCTTCATGGTGGGGTTTCGGCAGGAATGGGCGAACTAAAGACTAGACGATGTGTATACTCTTGTCTCCAGTCAGTTTTATGTGAAACAAGTTAAAATACCCGTACCCAGTGACGGAAAAGTTTAAGTTAATCTATTAATTTAAATTATTTCATGGTCTTTAAAAAGGTTAATTGTGTAGCACTCTTGGTTTTACTCAGAGCCAAAGCTCTGAGCTACTAATACTGCCCACCACGAAAAGTAATTGTCGAGTATTTCAGTCATGATAAGAGAACAATAACCCACGGTAAATTTACATTTTTATTCTTTAAGTTACGTCATATTTTGAAATGTGAATGATAGTGGGATTAATTCCTAACAACTTAGTTTACAATATCCTGTTTGAGAAATAAAATGTGGTATCAACATTACTCATGCCTGTACTCTCGTCAGTTCAGAAGTAAATGTTGAACTTTGCCTGCGTGCGCGGCTTTTCAGACGCAGCGCGGGAAGCGGCCCCTGTAAATAGGAGACAGACGAACGCTCGAACAGACACCACGGTTCGCAATTTATATAAGATAGTTATCAAAATTGGGAAAAACTTAAATATATTTGGAAAGTATTCTAGAATAGACCAACGGATGTGGTTGCTTTGAAACCTTGTTCAACTAGAAGAAAAAGGACGATACAGGTTCTTGTAAAGTAGAGAGTATGTAATTTTTATACCTTCCTGAAACTCAATTTTTATTATTTACAAAACAGAAACATAAAGAAATAGAATGTACAGCCTAGAAAACTTAACGAAAATTGATTAAAAACTATAGTGGAAGAAATGCAGCTGTTTTTGTTAAATATAATTTAGAGTCAAACGTTCAATAAGTTATTTTAATTATAGGTTCAACATCTGAGACACTCAAGTCGGTATATAAAATAATTATTTGTTGTTATGATGAATTACTGTGGATCTGTCATAAATTGCGTCAAAACTGGTCTTTATTTACAGTTAAAGTAAACTTGAATTATTTGTACCAGTTTCAGAGGAGTGCTTCTTTTTTCTAGGATAAAGCCCAAATTTGGTAGCCAGGAAAATAAACCTGTTTCAATACAACTTTCATTGTTATTAAATGAACATAAGTTATGTCTATACGATCAAATTCTTAAACATAAACTAATCAATAATATGTTTAAAATTTAAGAACGTCCTTTTCTCAAATATTTCTTTTTAACTTGACACAGCCCCCACTCATACTGGCACAACGTTATGTCTGCGGACTTTCATTACTAAAAATCGGGTTTCGATACCCGTGGTGGGCAGAGCAAATATAGCCCATTATATAGCTTTGTGCATAACTACAAACAAACAAATGTGACACATATGTAATTTAATTTTCAAATATTTTAGTAACGATGACTTTTTTCCATATATCGTAGTAATATTAATATGTTCGTATACGCTAGTAATGATGAAAACTGATACATTACTTTCCCATACTTCAGTAATGATGTTTTATTTTCACATGCCATTGAAATAACTTTTATCTACCTATCTTTCAAAAATTATGACACAGAAGAACGTTGTTTATGAAGTCAGAACCCCCAGGTTCAGTACAAACGTTTATTTAAACATCTTAAGATTTACTGAACAGATACTTGTCACGTTAATAATCGTTTTTAGTCTTAGAAGAAGTGTGGGAGATCTACGGAATTACGTTTCGTCTTTTTAATTTATTGAATGTATGCATAATACTGATTAGGAAATAAAATTTGAAACAATTGAACTAATCTATAGAAAGTTAGATTAAAATGTTCTAAACTTTGCTACATTATCTATCAATAACTATATTTTTAAACTTGTATTACTTGTTTTTAGAAGCGATATCTTTATTAAAGCCATTTACTGAGGATATAGGAAACTATTGAGCTGAAGCTGGTCATTTACATGTTAACTTTAATCAGTTTCTGTGTGTATGACAAAATGGCTGACCTAATCGTCCAAAATATCTATCTTCTATACACTGAATGGTGACACGATAAGAGCAGAAATCATCGAACTTTCAAAGGGGCATGTTTAAGGGTGCCTATTTAGCAGAAACATCTGCTATCAGAGTCTGTTAACATTATTAATCAAAATGGAATACGTCTGCCATGAGTGAAAACTATGGCTGATGACTTACCTAGGAAAAAAACGATTAGATAAGAAGTACAAACGACGTCAGATTGTGTTTCATTTGGTTGCTTCCTTCAGCAATGATCAGAATTTCTATCCAGCCGCACGTTGTAATGATCGTTACAAAATCTGTGATATCTCAGTTGACAACCAGTTCAAAAACACAACTTCAATGTTGACCATAAATAAATAGTATTATATACTTTGGTCTTATGGATCATGTCTCACCCTCTTCTGTACTGACAAAATTATGGAGAAAACCATGCACGTATGATGTTTGACCCAGCTTGTGTAAATCATAAGTGGTAGTGTAAGGGTGTGGCAAACTTCTCGTGGTATTTTGATTCCTGTTTGTTTCTTAGTTTAAGCACAAGGCTACGCAGTGGGCTATCTGTGTTCTGCCCGCTACGGTTTCTAGCGTTGAAAGTCCCCAGACATACTGCTGTGCCACTGAGGGAGCTTTGGATTCCTCTGGAGGGTTGAATAATATCCGGAATATGCTTGAACTTTGTTGACAATTGGGCTAAGTAAACAATGCTTCATTTAACCCTTAGCAGACAAGCAGGCTGATATAATGATACGTGACTGTACATTTCGTGTTTATGAAAACCAGAGAATACTCACAAAATATAGATATAAATGGTGTAAATAAGATAAATATCGTCTTATCTTAAAACTCTAAAATCATCTCGGGGCAGTATTGTGTATTTACCTTTCCTAATAATCCAGACAGAATATTTTAATGTTTGTTTGATAACAGTTAGACATTAGCCTAACCTAATCTTGACAGAAAAAGAAAATTGTAAAATAATTTATCATCAAAATCTCTATTTGAAGTCCTCAACAATATGGAGTTTGTATCATTCATTATAAAATATAACCTCTTCGCTTTTCAACATTACTCTATCTCTACACTGACACCGGAGCTGAAAATGTTTCTTTCCTTCGAAGCAATCAAAAATCCAAGTACTTTGGTGTGGAAATTACTTCAGAATTTTAATTTATTTATAAAGACACAGGTTCACTCGCACGACCTTGTGATTTTTGTTGTTGTTTTGTCCAGTTCTTACATACACAAACAAGGTACGAGTTAGTCCCGCTGTCTTATGATCAACAACTTTGTAGGTCCAATTGATGACCAAGAAAAAGGTCAGGTCACTTCTAAAATATTCCAACCTCGCTAATTCATTCATTAAAAGAACAGTTTAGAAACACCCTTAAGTCAGGACAATATCTAGATGTTTTTGTGGATAAACAACAACTTTGAACAAAGAGATAAAAGAATGTGTTTATATAAAGTTGATTTTTGTCATATTTCTCTGTCGACATGTACAATACCCTCAAACCATGGGAGTTTAGAATAAACTAACCTTCGACATATTGCGTTTGAAAATAATTATCTTTTCCAATCCTATTTGAAATTGTTAGAAATACCATCATTATCACCGAGAAGATAGCTTACCTGAAAAAAATTACTAAAAAAGGGGTGTAAAAAACTTTATTTTTCGCGTATATGTTTATAGACGGCTCTCGTCAGCAAACAGATCATTGTTGTTCTGATATTCTTCCATGTTTTCTAGTACGTCATTAATAGTCTCACAGCACAGTGTTTGAAAGTCTACTAATTAATTATTCAGTTCATAAAAACCTAAAGAGACCAGTTGAACCTCCACTGAGTTGGGTAAATTATTCAGAAATTCCTGGGGATTAGGAGAGACTGAATTTTATCTGAATATCTTCTCCCTCTTTGTTCAGGCTGTTTCCCATAATTCAAGCATAAAAATCAGCTTGTTTGTTTCAAAGTTGCACAAATGTTTTTATTAGCAATTGTTTATGAACTTGAGATATGATGACGTAGAGATTTTGTATGTCTGTTAAAACTATGATATTGGGCCTGGCATGGCCAGGTGGTTAGTGTGCTCGACTCACAATCCGCGGGTTCCAATCCCGTCCTACCAAACATGCTTGCCCTTTCAACCATGGGGTCGTTATAAAGTTACGGTCAATCCCACTATTAGTTAGTAAAAGAGTAGCCCAAAAGTTGTCGGTGGGTAGCGATGACTACCTGCCTTCCCTCTAGTCTTTCACTGCTAAATTAAGGACTGCTAGCGCAGATAGCCCTCGTGTAGCTTTGCGCAAAATTCAACAACAAAACAAAACTATGATAAATTCTTATAGAACTAATGTAGTGAAATGAAATACATTGGAAACCAACTGATAAAAGGCCAGACTTTCCTCTACATCGCCCATTTATGGACTATCAAGAAAGATTTGTTTCAGCTTTAGAAATTTTTCCGCACATACACTCTCGTTTCGAGCTTTGCACTTATAAACTCTCTTCTTTAATATTGTCATTCACGAATAATCAGTGCTTGTATATTTTCCAGTAATTTGATTTTGTTTCTAGTTGTTAACTGAAATTCTCGATCGTGATGGGCTGATTCTTTCCATTTCCTGTAAATATTTAGCTAAGTCAACGCAGATTTTAATAATTAGAAGTTTTGTTTTTTATTAGATAATTACAACAGAGTGTGTTGCTTAATCACAGAGTAAGATGGCAGGTGTTCATTTCAACATACGGTAGTGCTTTATGATCTGTTTGTTTGAAAGGCTATCTGTACTCTGCCCACCACGGGTATCGAAACCCGGTTTCTAGCGTTATAACTCCGCAGACATACCGCTGTGCCACTGGGGGGCATGCTTTATAGTAAGGTGAGACAGTGACATAAAATAGT